CTGAAATTATAAAAAGAGTCCATTAAAAATTCTGCTTTCTTTCGGATTTCATTTTGTTTACTTAGCGCGTTAACTCCCGTGCTCATCGATGAAAATAAAAAAGCCTAACGTTGAGTTACAACATGACACAAGTAAGAAGTTTAAAATATTCCGTGTAATATTAGAGACTTTTTTAAATTAACCTTCCCGTTACTATACTTAGCTATGAAACTTCAAAAAAAAAATCTTGCGTTTAAAAATTCTGGCCAAAAATACATTGTAACTCAACGTAAATATTTTACGTTCTTCGATTTCAACGAGACTCAATCTATTAAATGCTTCAAATTTTCTTTTCGCCCGAATAATAGCAATGCTCTGTAAATATATAATTAAAATGAAATTGATCAATAATCAATCTTTTTAAAGGTTTAAAATTTATCGTTTTAAAATTCATCAGCCTAACTAAAAGTCATAGGTTTGATCTTTTTTTCGCTCTTTTTCAATAGGTATAAATTGGGACTCAGTAGATCTTACTTTGTCAATTTTTAACCATAATGATTTTACATTATTTATAGTAGCTTTGGAAATATGTCCATAAATCATAATATGCAGCAAAATTTTTAAAGCTCTATTTTTAACGAGACATCAGCAAAATTAAAGATGCTTTTTTAATAAGAATTCAGTTAAAATGTTTATAAATGTTTATAAATATATGCTTTATATTGTAGTTTCGATGCGACGATTGATTTATGACTGGAGTTTCGATCTGAAATTTTTAATAAAAATTATAAGTTAAAAAAAAAATTCCCGAAAAAGAGGCAAACTATTGGGCAACGGTTATGCGCTTAGCCAGGTGTTGGTTGCTAAAGTTTTTTTGTACATACTCGTACTACAGATGACGCAGACTTAAAATAGAATGTAATTCCATATACACTGCAATAATATATTATGTAGTTGTAGACATTTATTCTCAGGTATGCTCATTTTTCCCTTTGTCTTACTTTTCATTTCACTCACTGATCTTTTTTTATTTCACTCCACCACATTTTATAAATAGCTTGAATGAAAATATTGCCAAGTGGCGACATTGTTTTAATTTAATGAGGCTATTTGTCTGTGTGCTAATAACTGTCAAATTTTTATTTATATGAAAAAACTGATGTTGTCAGCACATAATCGACAGTAATATAAATTGCCTAGTTTAGTGAAAGTGTTACAGAAGATTATGAAAATGCGTTTTGAACACTTCTTTTCAATTTTAATGAAAGGTTTTCTCTAACATACCTCGAAAAGTGTAAACTTCGCTCATAGCAAAATTTTGCTTTGTGCCACCCGAATCTCCTAAATTAACCGGTTAGTTTCGGTAGCAGCCAGAACTTAGATGTCAAATTTCAAGAAATTCTATTATTCCATTAAGACATAAGTAGATAAGGTGAAAAATGTAAAATCGTCCCCGAATTCATCAGAGTCCGAAACCTTATCTTTCCAAAAAAAATTATAGTTTCATTGTTTTAACACTCTAAATTTAAAAGACCATTTTCATAGGTTTTCGACGATGATCTTGCAGTATATTTAATTAGTTTTTCGCTATCTTAGATACGCCGTTGCCGTGTTGATCCACCTCCACTTTCAATTCGATTTGGCGTGCATTTTGATCCATATCCAAAATCGATGGCGTATGGATCAAATTTTCATATAAAATTTTCAAAAAATTTTTGAGGGCTATAATATGGGTCATTAAATATTTTTGTAAGACATGGATCATTATAACAAATAAACTGCAAAACATAATTAAATAATTCAATTTGGTTATTTAACCTTTAAGGTTTTTTCAACCGATAAATTACTTTTTAATTTATTCACGTTACTTGTCTTCTTCTCATATTTTGTGAAAAAGAATTGTTTATTTATTATTTACTTAAACAAAAAATATTTCAAAAACTTTTTAAAATTATTAGATCGCTTTGTTCTTATACTTCAAAGGGTGCTTACAAAATATCGTATAGAAATTTTACTTTTAAAACTTTACTGTAAAATTTTGGAATAATTTTAAAAACAATCGTTTACGATTCGTTTTTACGATTTCACGATTCGTCATCAACTATTTGAGTTCATTTTTCGCTGACAAATTGAAAATATACATAGCCTTCGTTAAAATATACTTTTGAAAATAACTAAGCATTGCCGTCTTTTTTTATGTCCAAATCATTCAGGTTAGGGTAGGTTGCACGGCCCCCGAAGGGTACACCTAGGCCACCAAGGTCCGTTATGACGAAGCCGGATCTCCCCCTCTCCCTCATTAAAACCAGCCCAAGTTCCTCAGAAACCGGCCAATATCCCTAGCATTTACATTCGCTAGGTCCGTAGCCCGCCCTAAAAAAAATGGGACCCAAATAACCTCCGCCTGGAGTTTGCCAGCACCGGGAATGAGCATACCAGGTGGGTCACCGTTTCCACCTCCTGCTAGTCACAGAAGCTCTTACAGAAATCGTTTGCGGGGCGGCCCATCCTCCTGGCATGATCGCCAATCAGACAGTGTCCAGTTAGAACCTCTATCACCGCGCCAACATTCTCCCGTTGGAGAAATATCAGATCCCTTGTGCCATGCAAGTCTAGCTTTGGCCACAACTTCCTTGCCACGTTACACATAGTTCCATTCCCCCATCTGAGATTGGTACGTTCCACCGCTGCACTGCGTAGCAGCAGCCTGTGAGTGGTTAGAGGCATAACCAGGTTCTTCTTTCCAAGTACAATTCCGAGGATCGTTCAATGTTTCGTAAGCTCATCCGCCTTGCATTTCCCCGAGATCCCACTGTGACCGGAAACCCAAACCCAGTTTAACTCGAACTCATCCGCCATCTCGTTAAAAGACGACCTAAAATCTAGGACAGTTCTGGACGTAGAGGTCTCCGACTCCAGAGCCTTCATCGCGGCCTGGTTGCTCGTGAAGATGCTAACACTTTCCACGGACATCACATGCTCGCCAAGCCAGCGCAGACCCTCTCCAATTGCAACCACCTCTGTTTGAAAGTCCCTTCAGTGGTCCCGCAGGCGGAAAGAGAGTCCCCACCCACCCTTCCGCAAGTTTGGATCAATCCGTGATAAAATGGACGGAGCCATCCCTGAACTCGTCACGCCAGCTTTGCCTCGGCAGGAGCGATGCTCCGAAATTTCTCACGAATGAAAGCACGGGAGGAACCGAATCAATTGACCCCACCTCGTTCCTCCAGTCCACAAGAATCGAAACGTGACCTGTGGGGTCACACGACGACTGTGATGCGGCCCCCAGGCGTAGTGCAGACTCCGAAGTCATCTGCCGTTCCAGTATATCCAATGGTAATAGATGCAAGAGAATCTCAAGAGCCTGTGTAGGAGTGGAGCGCAGAGCCCCACATACCCACATTATTACTATCCTCTGAATCCTGCTGATTAATCTCAGGTTTGAGGAAGTACGGAGCGCCGGCCACCACACCACGATTCCGTACAGCAGGACCGGCCTCACCACCGCGGTGTACAACCAATAAAGCATGCTTGGTTTCGGGTCCCACCTCTTCTCGATGGCCTTCCTGCACGAGTAAAGCGCAATAGTTGCTTCCCTTACTCTCTCCATGATATTAGACCTCTAGTTCAGCTTTGAGTCCAGAACCAGCCCCAGGAATCCAGCATTCCTGCTAAAGAATAGGCGGATTTTCCCGGAATTTTATATCTTCCACTGAAAATAACTGGCTCCGTCTTTTGAAGGCTTTTGAGGAAACTAGGCTAAAAGCCCTCTGTATCAGCCCATTTAGTTATTGGAGGTGTTTCCCAGATACGGCCACTGCCACGTCATCTGCGTAGGCGACCACTTTATAGCCCTCCCCCTGCAGAAGTACTAGTAACCGATTGATTACTAAGTTCCAGAGAAGAGGAGAAAACACACCCCCTTGGGGGGTTCCCCTTCGAACCGAACGCTCAATGCATGACCCGCCAAAGTTAACCCTGATGGATCTGGGTGACAGCATATTTCCTATCAGGGTAGCCAAGGAGCCAGAAATTGAGAGCTCCGACAGGGCTTGAGTGATCGATCGCGACTCGACATTGTTGATAGCGCCTTCAATGTCTAGTAAGGCAGCCAGTGTGTATTACCCGCAGTTAAGGGACGCTTCAATATAGTGTATCAAGGAGTGCAGGGCCGTTTTTGTTGACCTCCGATACAAATGTTATGCCGGAGACACCCACCTCGGGTTAAGGTTGCACTTTATGTATGAGTCTATCAATTCTTAAATCTAAAGTCTAAAATCCTTTGGGCAGCTGTGTGTGCTCCTCCCAGTTTTAGGAATGAAAACAGCCCTAGCAACGTTCCACAATTTTGGAATGTTAGCTAGGTTTATACAGAATTTGTAGATAATTTTCACCCAGGGCAGGATGACCTCCACCGCATCTTGTGGTTCCGCAGGCACTATATCGTCCGGGCACGTCGATTTCTAGGGCTGAAAGCTGCGGATAGCTCAAAGAATTCCTTTTTCAGTGACCACTTCTGAGGAACAAGATTCACCGTCGTAGACATTCGAAGTAGACACCCCCAAGGATTCTGGGAAGTGCGAATCCACAAGCAGCCACAAGGACTTCGAAGCCGAAGAGTCACCAGCTCCAAGAGTCACCAGCTGCCAGGAGATAACTCGGCGCGGTTGCGTCATTTACCAGGATCCTTCTTAGCCTAGATGCCTCTGCAACCCCACAAATCCTTCCACAAAACTCCCTCCAGGAGTTTTAATTCCTCGTTCCAATTAGATGATGTCCTGCTGAACTTTGTTCTGTTGAATTGACTTCTGCATTTTTTCCGAAGGGCATTCAACTCATCGGACCACCATTGCGACTTTCATTTGCCCTTAACCGAGTTAGGGAACACGCTACCCTAGAGGCGTCATTTGGGGCTCCGGTAGGCGTGAGGACCATACTTTGGTCTGAACTTTGACCATTCAGACCATTCAGTCCTTTAGCGGTTTCGGAAGGTCAAGTGAGCATTCCGGTTGGTTACCAAC